TCTTCTGACTTTGGAGGAGAATGCCCGCCTCTCTCTCTAGTGTTTTGAGGGTCGCAGGTAGTGCAGGTTCGCAACCGGAGTATGCAAAAATCTAAGGCTAGGGCTCTTTCCGTTCAGGGCTGGCCTGGCAAGGCTTTTTCCGTTGTGGCCACATCCGCGGCACGAGGGTCGACGACCCGAAGAGTCCACTTATTTCATGCCCTTCCCAAGCTACTAGTAATAAGTGGATTGCTAACAGTAACAAGAAGCTACTAGTAACAAGTCCTGTGCCATCCCATGCCTATACACCACAGTTGCACGGAATCCTAGCTGCTGGCCTGCGGGATCTCCTGCGGAATCTCAGGTCGCGGCCTGGCGACGCCAGTTTGGGTCAGCTTCGGAGACAAGTGTTTGGCACCCATGCTCTTCACCCAAATTTTGTGCCAAAGGCGTTTGGCACATTCGGGCACCATCTATCAAATAGATGGTAAAATATATCAGCATAGACCCCAGACAGTTTCAGCGTTATGTTCTTGGCGTGAGATCCTTGAATTCCAATGTCTGTGGTCACGTCTGCAAGCAAATTTGGCATTGAACAAAAAAACAGTCAGAAAACAATGGTTCCCGATTCCTGAGGTTGTCACAAGTGTAAGTACGAAGGGATACACACACACACACATACTGTATATATATATATATGTCATGAGAAAAGCCGCAGATGACATCAAATGCTGGACCACTATCCCATTCATAAAACATACCTGGCGGCCGTGGCCAAGCAAGGGATAAGGCCAGGAAAAAGGGGTGATGAAGGGCTGCAAGACCAACCCGGACAAGACCTGGACAAGGACTGGTGCCTCGGGGCATGAAGTGGTTCTCTCTTGAGCAAGGTTTCAGCCATGTCCTGGCGACCCAGTTCTTGAGCCACCTCAGAAGGCAGGACAAGAGCAGGACAACTGACAAGAACAGCGCGGCAGAGGACGACAGGAGGACGAGGAGGACACAGGGTTGGCCAGCGCGGCCAGAGGACAAGAGAAGGACAAGAAGAAGACAAGAGGACGACAAGAGGAGGACAAGAGAAAGACAAGAAGAGGACGCAGGGTTGGCCAGCGCGGCCAGAGGACAAGACCCGGACACAAAGCCTTACTTGTGTCCAGGGGCGCGGCCAGCCAGTGTGGCCAGCTCTTCTTTCGTAAGAGAGAACCCCAACAGTAAACTGTTTGGGGAAATGCATAAATGTAATTTATAACCTGTTGCCATGCAAGGGTTTGTGATATGCAAAGAGGGTTTCCCGATTCAAAAAGAATTGCCTTTGGAATGGTCCAAACCACTGGCTGCCTTGGCCGTGGAAGCGGCCGCTGCGGTGAGTCCGGTGGCTGAGCAAAGAGCACCTAGTCGATGGGATTCGATGGGCCAACGGTGCCCGCAGAGCCACCAATTGCTGAACATCACGCTGAAGCCTTCGACTGACATTCAACTGCCGGGCGTGGTACATGAACCTCTTCCTTAGCTGCTTAGCTCAAAACGCTTCAAATAAAAAAAGAAAGAGAGAGAGAGAGAGAATGAACGAACAGCACCCAAATACTCCCAAATTTAAAAAAGAAAAGCAGTGGTAAACAATTCTATCGCTCAAAACCACTTCGCTTCATCTATTAGCCAGCCCCTAACAAAACCAAACATAAGACGAAGCGCAGTGGGCTCAATGATGGTATCTTGTGCAAAGGCCGCAGGAGCTGCTGGCCCCTTGGGAGCCGGAGCTATGAAGATCGCTGACCTGTTTGGCAAAAATTTGCCATAACACACATGCCTTGAACGTCTTTGCCTTGAAAATACGTTCAGGAAAAACATGTCGAGAATCGAGAAGCACTTCATCTCAAGACAAGGCCTTTCTGAAGGTTTCTCCGGACTGGTGCTGTCATTCACGCTTGCCGGCATGCACACGTTTTCAAGGTTCGGCTCTGCAGCCTCAACGCACTCGACCGTGACGAATTGCTTTGCACCGTGTCTTCAATGCACAGCCGGCCTTGTCTGTCACCACCTCTGCATACACTCCACCTGTCGCAAGTACAGGCCATACAGACGATACCCACTTACTTCGGGTGGATTGGCTTTGGCCTGGCAGCGCTGGGACCTGCTCGGCTGCCGGCCCTGAGGAGCGAGCGAGCGAAGTGCAACACTTCCCCAGTCGGAGTAAACAAAAAAGAATGAACATAGAACCATAATAAAATCTATAGACACTAATAGGAATTTCAAAAGTTGTTTTAAAAATAGAGAATTGAATTAGTCGTTTGTTCTGTTCTTCATTCTTTCCCAGCTTCGACATGAGAACATCAACATCGTGACAATCTTGCCTATGGGTCCACGACGCAGTGTTCGAACAGGAGAAGGTGCCTAGCAAGCGAACTGCTGGACCAATGTGCCGGCGGCGAGTGCCATTTTGGGTGAGCCTGGCTACCTTATGCCCCCTGCACAGCTTTGAGCCACAACAATCTACGACATCTTTGTAGTTTTTGTACTGGTGCTTGTAAGACTGCAAGGGGCTGTTGTTCTTTTCAGGATGTGCATCTGCACCAGTGCGTGCACTGCAGCACCCAACCAAGCTCGGAACAATATGTGACGATATAGAAGAAAATTGCAAGTGCACATGTCTCTAGGACTCTAGGAAGGTGAGCTTGGCTTGGCATGATGTTCGTTGTGGCCCAAATCCCGTTGTTAGCACTGTGGCCCATTTCTTTTTGTAACGTCTCTCCAGCAATCTCTGATCGTCTGGCGGCAGGCCTTTGGAACTTTAAGACAGGCTCTTGGTTGAACTGAGTTTTAGACTACACGGCGGACAACGATAGAAAAGAACCACTTCAGTGCTCCATTTCTTGATGCGTGTGCAGATATGCCACGGCTTCTTGGAGAGACCGAAATGCCTGGGCAATGCGTTCGATGGGGCTGATCTCATCCTTGCAACGGAACAACCAGCAAAACAGCTGCCATTCAAAGAGCAAACCAGGATCCTTCGAAAAGGTGATCCTGAGGAGTTGTCAGCCCCTAGTAGCGTTCTTGCTCCCAGCAGCGATGCCAGGAGCCCCTAGTAGCGTCCTTGCTCCTATTCCTAGTAGCGATGCCAGGAGCCCCTAGTAGCGTCCTTGCTCCTAGTAGTAAGGCCAGGAGCCCCTAGTAGCGTCCTTGCTCCCAGTAGCGATGCCAAGAGCCCCTAGTAGCGTCCTTGCTCCTAGTAGCGATGCCAGGAGCCCCTAGTAACGTCCTTCTCCTAGTAGTAAGGCCAGGAGCCCCTAGTAGCGTCCTTGCTCCTAGTAGCGATGCCAGGA